AGCTCATATGTGTTTTTTACATCACATGTACATGTGTTTCATATATACCAAAAAAAAAATCTCAAAGTCAATAGCAAACTTTTCCTTGTAGTTACCTCTAGAACAGGGTTGCTCAATCTCCACACTCCGGACACTTTGGACCAGATAACTCTGTGTTTTGAGGGGATGTCTTGTGTATTGTAGGATGTTGAGCAGCATCTCTGGCCTCTACCCACTAGATGCCGGTAGTGCCTCCCCAGTTGTGACAACCAAAAGTGTCACTAGTCATGGCCAAAAGTCCCCAAGGAGGCAAAATGGTGCCCTGCTGAGAACCACTGCTCTAGGGAAAAATTGGGGAAATTTTACTTTCTCTGTTTTTTTTATAATAACAATGTATTTTCAGTAAAAATGTAAACAATAAAGGAAAATTTCCTAACTAACTGATATTTGGAGATTCTGAGAACTAGAAGTCTAGGGAATTACCTATGTCAGGGCAACTCTCACTGCTCGAACATGTAGGTCTTCCTTAAAGTGGGTCTGACCTCCATCCATTTGCTCAGCTATTGGCTTCCCCTCCTGGGCAGGACTTTTAATATAGTTCAATGGTTCTCTCCAGGGAACTGATTAGAAATGCAAATCTCAGGCCTCACTTCTCTCCTGCTATAAGGGGAAACTCTGGGATTGGCGCCCCCAATCCGTTGGGGCTGTTTTAACAGCCTTCCAGACGACACTGATGCTGACGCAAGCTCAAGTTTGAGAACCACTGATAGAATAAACAATCCAAGGGAATGACAGGGCTTCCTTAAAACTTGGCATATTCCTGTAATGATCTCAAAGGATTATACACTGAGCATTTTGCTTCCTGGTGCTCAGGGAGAGAATCCACTCTTTGGAAACTTCTCATTTGGGTCTGAAACACAAGGCCAGAGCTGAGAAGGTGGCTTGTCCATCCATTTGCTCATCCACTCAGGACTCTGTGTGCCAACAGTTCACACTCAAAGCTCAAACTCTTCAGGCCCGTTTTTACTAGCTCAGATACTGTGAAAAATCAGTTACTGCTTCCAGCCTCCTCAAAGGGTTAAACAGGCTCCATAACCTTTTGGAAAATGAAGTTTTAAATGAAAAAGAAAATGCTCTTAGCGTATTGTTCCCATTCATGGCTACCCCTGGAAAGGGTAGGAATGTTAGATGAGGGATTACCTTCAGTTCCAGCAGAACATAATTGTGAACACGCAAAACGTTATACCTTAAAAATATATTTTTTAAAGTTCAGATTTGAGTACGGGATAACCAATCTGTTGAAACTTTGGCTGTAGAGATGTGGGTATTTGGAGCTTTTTGAAAAGAAACTGGAGAAAACCTTGCTCAATATTTGACCCCAAGTCATCCTTGCATCTGAATAATTCTGGCATAAATATCTTTAGGCGCCACAGCCAATCCTGGCCCAGTGGCTGGGGCAGGGAGAGAGAATTAGATGCAGGAAAATGCTTTGACAGTACCTGATACGGTGAAAGCAGGAAGAGGTTGTTCTCGAAATACCGGAAATGGGCCAGAAAGGAGTCAGTGCTCATGGCATCAATGTGCGAGCACGTCACGCCTTTGACCAGCTGCCCAGCACTAGAAAACAAAACAAGGGACTCGGGAGAAGAAAGGGGTGGGGAGGAGAGAAAAAAGAAAGAGCAAGAGAAGGCAGATTTGATCTGACACAGGCTACAGACACGACTGTCCAACTCTCCCTCCTGGGCAATTGGGCTCCTCTGGCAGAAGGCTCCAAAGAGCCTGGTGGGCTCCCAGGTGGAGTTACATTCTCCTACCTCAGGAGCTCCCCGGGCCTCCTGGTGGTCTTTAACAGAAGCTCATACAGGAACAGGGCCTGAGGGAAGAAAAGGATTGGCAGCGCTGATGGGGTGCTCGCTGGGTGCCCAGCCAGGGGAGGCCCTTCAGGGAAGGCACTGTGACTCCATTTTACAGATGTGGAAGTGGAGGCTCAACAGCTAAGTTACTTACCCAGGACCACACAATTGCTAAATGGCAGAGCCAGGATTTGAACCAGTGTCAGAGTAATTTCAAAGCCCTGGCTCTCATCCTCCTGGTGACACCGTACACTCCAAGCAACAAATGAAGAGCAAAGCTGTTGGCAGCAAGACTGGAGTTTCCGTGCTTTATGAAGCCTGCTGACTGGTTGAGGCCTCTCTGTGACCCCTGGACACCAGGCACCCCAGAAAGGGAGCGGAAGGGCGGGATGAACAGGCTAGGAAGGGCTGAAAGGCGCCATCAGTAAAGACCTGCGGCTGGCAGCCCGCACTCCCCCCAGCCCTCCCGGATGAGCACTCTGGGAGAACGGTGCATCGTAGGCAGGGGAGTCATTTGTTTCAAGGAACGTAACTTTACAGAATCTCTAACTTGCAGATGCAATCAAGTACTACATTTATCTATTTTATAGACTCTGAAACTTTGAACGTAATTCCCCAAACAGAATAAATTGTGAGCTAGCATTGGACAGGGCAGCTGAGGGCCTGGAAGCAGCATAAAAGCCCAGGTGGAAGGAGGAGCAGGGGGGACATTCTGGATGTTATGTGGGACCCCAGAGATTTCTCTGGGCACAGGGTCAAGTTCTGGGACCCTCCACTGTCTTCCCCATCTCAGAAAATGGCAATTCCATCCACTCAGTTGCTGAGACGAAAGTATCTTGAAGTCATCAGTGGCAGGATGTCTTTTCCCAAATAAAATGACTGCCACTGTCACTAAATTTGGCGCTGGTTTGTTACACAGCAACTATCACCGGAACATCATCCAACCTCAAGAGACACCCTGAGCAAGAGCCTCTGGAGCAGAGAGGGATTTTTGTCTAATTTGCTCACTTCTGCATGCTCAGCTCCGTACGCAGCGGCTGGCACGTGGTTGGTAAGGTGCTTGACAAACATTTGCTGAATGGATGTAATGAAGGCGGATGAATGAGGAGGAAGCCAAGGACAGTTCTAAGGCAGTGCATCCATCAACGGCACCATCCTCCCCAGGTGGCCTCAGCACTGGCAGCTTTTAATAATACACGTCATAACCGCTAACATTTCTAGCACACTGGCCAGGTGGCACATCCCACTGATCCTCATGAGAAGTTATCCCCATTTTGCACATCAGCAAACTGAGGATAGGTAAGGGGCAATAGCTTCTCCAGTGGGAGCCGGAATTCACTCTCAGCTCTTGTCTAACTTCACACTGTGCCATTCTGCCCTCTGGGTTTCATCACACAGAAACAAATTTCTTCTACCAAATTAACCTTATAACAGACCATTCCCGCAAGACAGTCAGAAATCCAGGATTGATCTGTGAGCGTCATGGGCATACCTGGCTCCTGCGAAGCTCCTTGTCCATCAGGACTGCGGGGTTGAATCCAGGTTCCCTCCGTAAATCGAACAGAGACACTTCTTTAAAGAAAGCCCCTGGAATCTCCACAATGCCTGAGGCAGGATCTCCTGCTTCGATCATCTGCCAAAAGTGAGAGGAAATATAATAGTCATCTTGTAAAAGGTACGTTGAGCTTTGAATAAGAGCCAGGCACTGCTTCGCGGGCAATAAAACCCATCAGACCCATCCAGAAGCCCTAGGAAGTAGAGACTATCACCCGCCCCATTTTGCAGGTGAGAAAACTGAGACTTAAAGGGAGATTGGTTGAAAGTCACTAAATGAGATTCAAGCCTAAGTCTGTCAAAAATCCACACTTTATTTTAACCATGTGGGCTACTGCTATCTGCAAAGTGTGGGCACTTTAGGCCAAACCCCTTAGGTTTGGTTTCTTAACAGATTTTGCAATTGGACAGAGCAGGCCTGAGAGAGCAAGATGCCCCAAGACCCCCGTCGAGTGAGAAAGGAACACAAGCACGACTTCAGACCATGGAAGGGGCTTTTGGGAACACTCTGAGAACTTCAGGATTCATTTTTAGCTTTGAAAAACAAACTTTTAAAACATGATTAGATTAAGAAACCAGATTTAAGAAGAGTCTTCCGGATTGGACTGGCAGGGAAGGCAACGGGGAAGAATTGCGGCATGACCAGAGGGCTCTGCCCGGGAAGGAGGGAAGTTGAGGCAGCAGGAGGAGGCAGAACGACCCCATACACCAATGGCCGAGATAATCCCAGCCCCGAATCAACGGCCCACAGTCACAGCCCACCCACGTAACCCCCAAACCACATCCCCTGTGAGCCACGTGCCTGAGGACAAGACATCTTCCTCTTACCTTGCTAAGCACACCTTGCTGCTGGGCAGGTGACAAACCGGACACATGCTGAGAAAGGGTGCTTCTCAGGGCCTGCGGGAGGTCCTTGCAGTCCATGCTGCAGAAGGCCTGGGTGCTGACCCCAGCCAACAAGGCGCCCATCTGGCTGACGTTGTAGAAGGACAGCACCTGGGAGAGGGGCAGCCGCACTGTGGGGCTCTGCTCGGGCCTTTCGCCTCTCAGACAGGCACTGAGCCTGCTATGGGCGACACCTTAGGGGCAAGACAGGTGCTGCCTCTACAGACCTCCCTTCCTTCTATCAGGAAAGAGGCTCAAATATCAAAACACGAGATTCATGGTAAATGCACTGCGCCATCCAAGGCCATACTGCAAATATCAAAAACCAGTGCCCCATGAAACACAGCTGCCCAGCATTGGGCTTTTTTGTGTTTAATAAGGACTAGTGGACAACATTTAAAAATTGTTTTTAATTTTTCTTTTTTTTTAGTTTTAGAGACCAGGTCTCACTTGGTCACCCCCACAAGACAAAGAGCAGTGATGTGATCATCACTCACTGCTCACTGTAACCTCTAACTTCTGGGCTCAAGCAATCCTCCCACCTTGGCCTCCCAAGTAGCTGGGACTACAGGCATGCACCACCACACCTGGCTAATATTTTTTTATTTTTTTTAGAGACAGGTTCGATGGTCTCAAACTCCTGGACTCAAGCAATCCTCCCGCCTCCACCTCCCAAAGTGTTTGGATTACAAGCATGAGCTACCACACCTGGCTTGTTTTTAATTTTTAAGCTAAATTGTTTTGTGGGAAGAACTTCCATAGAAATCCAGATTTGAGTTTCTGAGGTTTTGTTGGTGGTGTTGTTTCAATCTGAACATCAGGCAATCTTGGGCCCAAATTTCCACCTGGCAAAAATTAGCAGGAACTGAGCAGCAACCACCTCTTTAGGTGGGCCATGGGCTTTTTCTCTGGCCCCTACCCACCTTGCAGAGCCCTAAGGAAGCCCACTTTTCTCAGTTATGTCACCTGACAGGCACCTGGCATAGCAAAGCCCCGCGCTCATCTATTTCCATGCAGAAGTTTTAAGTTGAAATAAAGAAATCTTTCAGGATACAAGTCTGACATTTTCTGGCAAATATTACTGGAGCTGGCTTTCCTATCAAAAATTATTTTAGGTTTTTTTCCCCCTCCTTTGGAGTGAAGATGCTAGATGGTTTTCCATATAATCAGGGATGGGTTCCATGAAGAGACAGTTGAGTGGTTTCCTTTAGTTATTCTCTGTACAATGGATAGTCTCTTCCTGTCCCCAAAGAAGACAAGAACTTTTGAGTGCTTGGCTTCTTAGTGAAAGTGGCCTCGCCCCTCAGGAGGAGGAACTGGATGTCAGAGAAGAGACAAGCGCTTTGTTCAGCTGGAGGGGAACAAACAGTGTCCCTCGGCTTCCTAGAATCAGATTCACAGAGAACTGTCACAGTAGACCCATGGGGCCCCAGTCAAGGTCCAGAAACAGGGAAGGTCTTCAAAGCCTTCAAAATAAAGTCACCATGAGGCTAGAAGAGACAAGATAAAGGGTTTAGCCTCGTTCTTGAGTCAGAAAGTGAGAATGAAGGGGCGATGGTTCTAGAGCCGTGATGGAGGGAGTGAGCGTCGGGGTTCAGCAAGCAGGCTCCAAAGTCAGATGCCCTGGGCTCAATCCCAGCTGCGTCCTCTTGATGTGGCCTTGACAATCCCATATGCTCTGTACCCCACATAAATGAAGTGGAAGATGATGATTATAGCGCTGCTGACCTCACAGGGTTATTAGAAAGAGTAAATGATTAACTCTCTTAGAACAGAAGGTGGCAAGTGTTTGATAAGCGTTTGTTATTATTGTTACATTGGAATTGGTCCCAATCCAATCCTCGTGAGCCAGTTTTCCATCCTGGGACGCATCTCTGAGTGTGAACTGAAAGAATGGGACACCAAATGCTTAGGACTCAAGTCTGGAGCCCTTTGAACAGAACCCAGCACAGGGAAACTAATTCCCCCTGAAAGAAGGTCCAATTTCCCACTAGAGGAGCAGCTAGAGCATGGACTAAGGCTGCTGTCCCCTCCAAATAGGACTTTTTGCTCTGACAGTTCCCTCTCTGCAGCCCAAGACTCGGATAAAACAGCATCATCCCTGATCCCACGATGAGGGATGCACCAGCAGCTCAACAGCAAGCAAGAAAATCCTGGGATGGGCCCCACACATGGGTCAACAATTCAGTGCTGGCTAACACTCCTAGAGAGCTCGTCCTCTGTTATGTCACCTAATGTCCCAGTTTCTTTATGTGCACCAACTCGCATAATCTTCACAGCAACACATTTAACACTATGGGGTAAATGCTATGGTTTTCCCCCATTTTACAAATAGGGAAACTGAGGCAAGGTGAAGTCAATCAAATTGCCCAGTGTCACACAGCTAGTAAATGGCAGAGTGAGGATTAGTCCCCCTCAGCACCATCTTCTTACTAGCTGGTTGTCCCTGCTGTATGTGTACAACTGACTGTCATGGACTGAACTAGCCCCGGTGTGATGGTATCGGGAGGCAGGGCCTTTAAGAGGTAACTAGGATTAGATGAGGTCATGAGATAATTAGAGCTAGGTGGGGCCATGATCACATGGGATTAGTGCCCTGATAAGAGGAGACACCAGAGAGCTTGCTCTCGCAGAGGTCATGTGAGCACACAGTAAGATGGAGGCTGCCTGCAAACCAGGAGAAGAGGCCTCAGAATGAAACCCACCTTGCCATTGCCTTGACCTTGGACTTTCCAGCCTCCAGAACTGTGAGAAACAAATGTCTATTGTTTAAGGCACCCCGTCCATCACATTTTGTTATGTCAGTCTGGGCAGACCAACATGCCCTTGGGCCTCAGGCCACTAAGGAAGAGTTAAAAGCCCCAACTGACCTTCTCATGGGCCAAGTATTTGGCAGACAAGATGATGACCTGACTCTTGGCCCAACCTGAGACCTGGTTGAGGGTGGAGATGGCACCGTGCACAGCCTCGGGGGAGAGGGATTCCAGCTGACTGTAGGTCAAACCCACAACCGCATCCGACAAAGAGCCCAGGGTCTCATTGAGGGTCTGGTTCTCCGTGGCAATGTCCAAGAGGTTGGCTTTGAGCTGGAGGAAGAGCAAATTGGAATGGGCACTGATTGAAAGCAGGGTGGTGGCTCCATCTGACTACATCCTGGAGGGTCAGGGCTTCACAGTTCCCCAACCCTGCCCACCAAAGCCTCTGGACCCAGAGATGAGGAAGGTAAGGGACTCCTGCCATGTCTAGACAGTCACCCCACGGAGCACACTTCCTCCTGGCCTTGGCATTCCTGTGCCACAAATTCACCATGTGCTTTATTTAAATATTAATTTGTTATTAAATCAACCTTAAAACATGGCAGAAGGAAATCTCATTCCCTTTAACTCCACCACACTCTAGTAGCATCTGTATTCTCCTGGTGACCTTGAACTTTATATCTATATATATGACTGTTTTTCTTTTGTGGAATATCCAGAAGCTTTTTCATGATAATTTATAATCTGTGTAAAAATAATTCTCAACAGTACAGGAAAGTAAAAGTCTCTTGAAAATCCTATCTCATAAAAATAACCGTGATTAGCAATTGGGTGTATATTTATGCTTCCAAGATTTCTTATGTCTTTTTTAAATATAGAGACAGTATGTAGTTTGCACATAGTTGTAATATGAACAGAAGCAGAGTTTTCTTTTCTATATTTTTCACTTAAAATTATTTCTTGCACATGTTTGCACATTTCTATGATCATTTTAATAATCATTTTATCACAACATACCTTCCTAGTTATAGTAAAGTGTGTCGCCCAACTGCTTCTGGTGAGGAATGTGATAAACTAACCTACTGGAAAATGATCTCTGAACCCAAAAATAAGAACGGTTCATGTTTTAACGCCTGGAATTTGTACAACCCACATATTCATTTCAGACAAGTGTACAGAATGGCTCCAGGCAATATTGAAATAGCCACTAGGGGGCAGCAGAGCGAAGTAGAAGAAACAGCTGTCCCAGCACCTGGGTTCTCTAAATTCAGCAGCGCCCCCTCCCTAGAGCTCAGTTTCCACATCTGTGAAAGGAAGCGCTGGACTAAAGTGGCGGTTCTCAAAATGTAGACCTTGACCAGCAGCAGCAAGATCACCAGGGAATTTGTTAGAAATGCAGATTCTCAGGCCCCACCCAGACCTGCTGAATCACCTTGCGAGGGGCCTGCAATCTGTATTTTAACAGAGACCCTGATGCACCCTCCAGTTTGAGATCTGCTCAGCTACATGATCCGAAGGGCTCCCTCATATCTAATTGTATCTGGCTTTCTTCTTGGCTGCCACAGCTACCCCTGTGGCCTCAAAATACATTTATTTTCTTGTGTTTGCTTGCTTGGAAGTGATTCCTTTCCTTGAAATCAAACATATGCATTGACCAAGAGAGATGACCATGATGTCAAATGTCAAATGTGATTGGGGACCTTATGGTTATGCGTGGGAAACTGCTGTGCAATTATCGATGGCTTTATCAAAATTGTCTTTAATATTGTTCTCATATCATCTTTTCAAATTTAAAAAAAAATTGAAAAGGACCCCAAGAAGTGAAGAGGAAGGGGCAGAATGGAAACTTGAACAGAAGAAAGAAGAGAGAAATGGCGGGGGAAGGAATGTGAGAAACAGTCTATGTTTGCTAATTTGTCCCAACCCTGGTCTAAGAGAATTCATAACGACCCTCTGATCCAGTGTTCTCAGTCCTGGCTGTGTTGGAATCACCTGAGAAGCTTTAAAACCATGTCCCACCCAGGCCACACCCTAGTGGCACCTGGCAGGGCTGTGACTAATGGAGAGCCAGGTTTGAGAACCACTGGCTGTGCCTAGCATGCTCTCCAGAGCAGCCACTTCTGCACCACCTAGAAGCCTTTGGGAAGTGTCCTCTCCACGGCCCCTCCCCAGCCAGACCTCCTAAATCAGAATCTGCCTTTCAGATCCCCAGGTGATCCGTATGCACTTTTTTTTTTTTTTTTTTTTTTTAGACAGGGTTTCTGTTTCCTGGGCTAGAGTGCAGTGGCACCATTATAGCTCACAGCAACCTCAAACTTCTGGGCTAAAGCGATCCTCCCGCCTCAGCCTCCCAAGTAGCTGGGACTACAAGCGCGTGCCACCACACCAGGCTAATTTCTCTATTTGTTGTAGAGATGAGGTCTCACTCTTGCTCAGGCTGCTCTCGAACTCCTGAGCTGAAGCGATCCTCCTGCCTCAGGTGTGAGCCACCACGCCCAGCCTGTATGCACATTTAAGTTTGAGACGGCTGCTCTGATTAAATTTTAATCTCTGCAAGATTTTTTTCCTTTGCTGTTTTTGTCTTTCCTTCCCATGTTACACTCATCCCAGTATTTCAGACACTGTCTTCTGTGGCTGGACTTAGATCCTGATTAACGCTATGTGTTTTCTCTCCAAGGCCAGGCAAGGCTGTTCTCCCCCATTTCTCTGGCTAGTGAAACTGAGGCAGAGGCCCCAGGCCTAGCACCCCTTCTGCACCTTCTGAACGCCAGCCTGGAAGCCCCTCAGCTGGCTGCATTTGATCATCTGATGAAGCAGGACTTGAGCCACCGTGGCATCCAGCAGCTCCAGGTCATCGTAGAAACAAACCAGCAGCCCCAGCCTGTGTGAGAAGAGAAGAGATTGTGGTGGGGGTCTCAGAGCTGGGGCCACACCGCGTTCCCCCCAGTCCAAACCAACAGAGTCATGAACACACCAGCTACCACGTATCAGGTCTTGTGCTGAGTTTGCCTGGATTATCTCATCACAACAACCCTACAAGGTAGGTGTGCTCCTTAGCCCCATTTCACAGATGGGCAAGCTGAGGCTCAAAGAGATCAAGTGACTTGTTCAAGGCAAGTAGTGGAGCTGGGACTTAAATCTAGATCCATCCAACTATGCCGTCTCTCCTCCTGAGGCAGATAAAGGGCTAAGGAAAGAATGATGCTCTTAGCCACAGAAAACTCCCCATTTTCTACATAGAGATAAGGGGTTTTTCCACCCTGGGGGGAGTTCTCTGAGGCAGAAGTCTATTTCCAGGATACCTTCCTACCTACCCACCCAGATGATGCAAACGATTCAGAAGAGGGAAAAAAAAAAAAAAAAAGACAGGAGGCAGAACAGTATAGGGGCAGAGGTGAGATTTGAACTCTGGTATAATACCTGAGAGCGATATATCTAGTGGTTAAGAGGATAGATTCAGACTGCCTGGAGTTTGAAGCTCAAGTCTGTGAGATGTTTAACCTCCAGCAAGTTACTTAATTTCTCTGCAAGGTTGCTGCACCCAGTTGTGCAGTGCGCACCCTGTACTACTGTACCATATAGAGGCAGAGTAGCCCTGCCTCTCTGAGCCTTTAATAAACAGTAGGCTTGCTTTGTTCATCATAGCACATCATAATAAATATGATGAATGAAGGAATGAGGATGACCGTGAAACTTAGAAGAGGCATATGAACTGATTAGCATACTTCTTGGTGGATACTAAGCACTCATTCATTGATGAGTACTCTTGTAGAGTTAGTATGAAGACTGTTCAACTTACATGGCTGGACCACCTGATTGACCACGATCGGCCTGGCTCCACCCTCTCAGAAAGATATTGATATATTCAGACACACCCACAGGAGAGCAGCCAGGCCCAGGAAAAGGATTTGAAAACGTGTCTGAGAAAAAGAGAGCTGCTTAACTGAGAAAAGAAGACTCGGGGGAAGTGACAGCCAAGATACAGCATCAACCTACACGTCCATCAACAGATGAATGGATTTTTTAAAATAGGGCATAGATACAGAACGAAATACTCTTCAGCCTTGAAAAAGAGGGAAATCCCATCACAGGCGACCACATGGATGAACTTGGAGGATATTATGCTCAGTGAAATAGGCCAGGCACAGAAAGACAAATACTGCATCATCTCACTCATACTGGGAATCTGAAAACGTCTAACTCACAGAAGCAGAGAACAGAATGGTGGTTACGAGGGGCTGGGGGCGGGAAGGCAGCTGGAGAGAGATGTTCGTCAAAGGATACAAAGTTTCAGTTAAATAGGAAAAAGTTCTGAAGATCTACTGTACGCCATGGTGACTATAATTAATAACAATGTTTGGTATACTTGAAAATCGACAGCAGATTTTAAGTGTTCTCACCACACACAAAAAAACTCTATGGGGTAATGCCTGTGTTAACTAGCTTGATTTAGCCATTCCACAGTGTGTACACACATCAACACATCACATTGCATACCACAAATATATTTTTTTGTCAATTTAAAAAATCAATTGTAAAGGAAAAAAGAATAATATTTCTTGAGTAGTTACCATGTGTCAGCTGTGCTTAATCCTCACAAGGACATGAATGAGGCAGGCAGATTTTTACCTCTCATACCCAAGAGGTCTGGCTCCAGGTACCATGTTTTTTGTTTGTTTTTTTTTTT